TAGGTAAAGCGCAAACCATTTTTTTAAGGTTTCCATCATACCTAACTTAAAGGTTGGTGGCGACTCCAAAATCAAATTATTTTCAAAATTATATTTCATCGCCTTCCCTGAAATTAAAATTTTTAAGTCTAACGGATCCCCGCGAAAGACGTTATGACAAGAGGATTAAAATGGATTAATCACTCAAGGGTCCTTGAATTTTCACCAAAAAAACAATTATCATCCTTAAAATTATTAGATAAAATTAAACCCCCAAAATTTAGATTATGACAACTCTCATCTCCTTAAAAGAAATTTCATCTTTGAAATTTACCAAACTAACACCAGGTTCTTTACGCTTAGTCATCTTTCGTCTACACCTCTAACGCAAAGATTTAGCAACAATCATTAGCTAAATTTCAATAATTACGTTATTCATAGTGTTCTTTATAAGGATTTCATAAACTAAACAAATAAACTATGAATACATCTGCTAACTGATCTGATGCGACGTGACAATCATAAGCTCTAGTTACGTAAATCAGAGCTTGCTGTTTAGCCAGAGTCCTAGCTGATCCCCCACTCTGAGTGGATCGTCCCCTACAGCAGTACCTGAAGTGAATCTAGATGAAACAAGCCTACTATGACTCTGAAGTTTCGAAGGTGTTTGAGCATAACCTTGCAACTGAGCACGATCATAAGATCAAGTAGATGGATGTGGAAACTCCCTAAAGAAATAATCCTGAGCACCACAACAAAAACAACTCATCTTATCCTAAATTCTCCCCTATTGCATCTTCTACAATAGGTACAATTAGATAACTCTTTGAAACCAGTAGAACCATCAACTCCAGTAGTAGACAATTGAAGATCTAGACCTGAATTTAGAACTATCTTGTTGAAGGGCATTTTGCCTAACCCTTTTACCAGGACGTTCGGCTGATTCTGATAGGCTAAATGAACAAGGATGCTTCTTCATATGATCTCTTTATTGACCACGTTGTTCATTCTCAAACACTTCCATCTCTTCAGCCACTCTAGCCTTGTCAAACAACTTATTGAAAACTCTCTCTTGATGAGTGGCTACTTATTGTTGGATGTCTTGTCACATGTATTTCTCAAACTAAATGCATTTATCACTCTCTATGGTAACCAACCCATATCAATATTTGCTTAACCTCATAAATTTATCTTATATTCCTACATCGTCATATCAATCATTCTGGCTAAAATCAATAAACTCTTCTTCCTACACTCTCCCCTATGGCACCTTTTACAATAGGTACAAGTAGATAACTCTCTGAAACCAGTAGAACCATCAACACTAGCAGTAGGGATAGTTGAAGATGTGAATGGCCTTTTGTGTAACCCTTTTACCAAGACGTTCAACCGATTTTGATAAGCTAAATGAACAAGGATGCTTCTTCGAATGATCTCTTTATCGACCACGTTGTTCCTTCTCAAACAATTCCATCTCTTCAGCGATTCTAGCCTTGCCAACCAACTTATAAAATACTCTCTCCTGATGCGTGGCTACCTATTTTCTAACGTCTTGTCGCAAGTCTTTCTCAAACTAAATACATTTATCACTCTCTATGGTAACCAACCCATATACACATTTGCTTAACCTTAAAAACTCTCTCTCATATTCCTGCATTATCATATCATTCTGTCTGAAATCCATAATCTCTTGTTGATGCTTCTCTAAATACATGATACCTACATAACGCCTCTGAAATAACTCTTGAAAAATTTCCCAAGTCAACTACTCTGATCGAGAAGTTCTCTTGATAGATTTCCACCAACGTTGTGCATCATCTTTCAACAGAGAAACCAGTTTTAAGTTTTTGATCCACAAGATAGTTCATCATATCCATCACTGAAACAATATCCTCTAACCAATACTCACCGTCAGTGAAGCTCTAGAAACACCATGAAAGAAAGAGGCTTCATCAGCTTGAAGATTCATAGAAATAGGTGTCCTCAAACTCTTAGTTTGTTCATTAGTAGACCTACTTATCATATGCAATATCGCATGCCCAACCTATGCATTGTCTATCCCAACATTATCCACGCTCTTAGCGATAGGCTGGTCCTCAGTCGGCTCAGTAGGATCAATCTCCCGAGTATATTTTCCTCCTCAGATGAGGTTGTCTCAAAATCTAAAAGGATCTAATTGATGGCATTGCAACATTCGCTCGACCTCAACGACCCCAAGTGTTACGTTCCCCTCGAGCTGGCGTAAAAGTGCCTCTAGCTCTGCAATGAGGATATCAATCTAGGGATCTACATAAAAATACTCAAATGCTAATATTAGATCTGATACTGGAGTCTCAAAGCAAAAGTAGCTCAAATAATAATCATAATAATTTGTTTACATAAATTCAATACTCATAAAATTTTGAAAGAACTCCCATTCCCAAAAATAATTTTGAATGCATGTAAAAATCATTTTTGTTTAAAATTCCTTTTACAACCTCACAGTTCGAGATTTCAAACTATACTTTGATACCACTAAATGTAATCCCTTAACTCGATATAGTCATTACAACCAAGTCTCGAAGATCATGTTATTAACAGTTTATAAAAATATAATCTTTAGTTAAGAATCATCAATGGTACAAAATGATTTATAAAGTAAATAAGTATACATAAATATATCATAATAATATGATAATAAATCCATAAATTTGTAAACCAATGCATGCCAAAATATAATCCAAATTTCCCATAAAGATTATGTCCCAAAAGTTCAAATGTTAAACAAACCTCAAATCCGATGAAAGTATAAAATATAAGAATAGTTTGAAAAAATAATCATATTGTGAAAAATATTAAAATATCGCTAGCCAATCCTCCAAGTACCAAAACAATCGATCACGAGAATTTATAAAGGGGAAGGAAACTACAGGGTGAGCTATAAAGTTTTGTTTGTCCTCTAAGTGTAAGTCAATCAACATAGAAGTAAACCGTATCATTTGAGCACCACACTACATTCACAAAGCAGACGTATCGAACACATAGCACATCATATACGATATGAATGCAATGAAATGCAACCCAATTCACTTTACCACATCGCTACACAATTATTGATTTTACCATCCCAATGGATGACCAGTCAGTAATTGGGTTTATCATCCTAAGCGAATGAATCAGTCGATAATTGGGTTTACTATCCTAATAGATGAACTAGTCGGTAACTCGGTCACTTCTATAGCACTATCACATCCTAATGCAACATACTAAGTGGTATGAACAACAAGTATGCTCATATAAAAGAGACACTCGTAACATATTCGATTTATTATGCTCTGTTCATTAGTTGAATAATAGTTCAGTATTCGACACAAGCATGCATCGGTGAACATGAAACATAAATATTCAAGTCATACAAGTAATTACATTCGCATGCTTAAGAGGTTGTATAAGAAAATATGGCATTCACAACGTATCATACACTCAATACAAACACACATAGCACTATACGAGAAATACACCTCTAGCAAGTTGTAGCACCGAAGCTAAACAGGCTTTCCCCAATCGATGATACTAGTTCAATAGCGTTAAAACCTACAAATTCGAAATACTACATTAACAACCCAAACAACCTATATTCTAACTTTAAAGATTTACGATTTCAAGGTTAGATCATCTTACACGTAACTCTGGCCGGACGATCAAGATTTAAATGAACAGGTTGAGACAAATCCGGGATTACTGGTGAACGCGCTGGAGAGATCAGATCAAGGTATGTTCGCGAAGGAGAACAACAAATGTGTGATATTTAAGAAACCCGAAACTTTCCTCCCCTCACTCTAGCTAACAACTACCGATGAAAGGATGAAGCCGATGGGGTTTTATTTGCCTTGACCAAAAGAAAATGTTGACGTGGGTGGTGAAGCAAATGCCGGTCAAAATCGACAGTGAAAGTACTCCAATGAAGTATATACAAAGGAAAAAGGAAAAAGGAAAAATAAAGGGGAGAAAAGGAAGCGACTGTGAGAGAGAAAGAGAAAGCTTTCCATTATGTCTAAAAGTTGTACTTATACCTACGTTTAGGGGATTAAAATGGATTAATAAGTCCTTGAATTTTCACCAAAAACTCAATTCTCAACCTTCAAATAATTAATAAAATTTAACCCCCCAAATTCAGGTTATGATAATCCAAACACCAAAAAAAAAACCAATCCTTCTAAAAAGAACTAGCCCCAATCCTTCTATAACGAGCTAAACCCCAATCCTATAAACAATGTTACATTGCATCTACTTATAGCATTAATAAGGGCTGAAAATACGTCAACAAGTAGTAATTTCTTCCAAGAATAAGAACCAAAAAGAACGTGCTTTTCTGAACCTTCTACAAATAACTAAACCCCAATCCTATATACAATCAATCGGCATGCAACTGCTGTGTGATTTAGTGAGAAACAGCAGTAAATCAATGGAATTAAACCTGAGCAACTAAAGTTATAAAAGCCTCTAGTTTATGTCTATTAATTCAAAGAAAATAATAATAAAGTGGCTGGGAATGTTCACTTCTCACAGATTATAAATACATGGTTTTCTTGCAAGTAAAGTATTTGTCCAAACCATGCTTCTTGTATGATAAAAATTAGCCGACATAACCTAACAAATTTAGCATTCTTCATAAAAAACCAAAACCCCACGGAAACTGAACAACCAAATCTTGTCACAGTGCTTAAATGCAACCATTCCAAGATATCTCAATCTCGAAGAATAATATAAGAAAATTTGAACAATGATAACCTGCAAACCGATGTGATAGAAAATTTGAACAATGATAACCTGCAAACCGATGTGATAGAAAATTTGCACATTGATAACCAGCAAACCGATGTGATCGACTTCCTAAAACAAGCTCAACTACAACACACGAATTACATTCATTTCTTACTTAGCACTAGCATTTTCCCATCATTTCTAACTTGCCAAACAGTAGACTAGCAGGGGTTGCGATTTCCATCCAATAGGCAATATAGGAAACAAGAGAAGAAAACTTTAAAGAAACAATATAAATAAGCATCACATCTAGTGCGATTTGAGGATCCATAATAGTTAAAAGTAATCTAAATTGACATAAAAATAAACCTCCCACTGTCAAAATAAATATCAGCAAATTGTCTAAAACCCTTAAAATTAAACAAAACTAAACAGCGGAAAAGGGGAGAACAGCATTAATAACAAGGAAACAAGCATTCTCACTCCAGAGGAACATCAACATCGCCATCATCGATTTCCTGCTGCAAATCCTTAGGGTCTTTCCCGTCAACGGTGCATCCAACAGAGACGCAAGTCCCCAGAATCTCCTTCACCGTCCCCCTCAGATCCTTAGCCATAGACCTCGGCCTCATTACTTTGGCGATCTCGATGACGTCATCCAGGCTGATGTTCCCGTTATGCTTGATGTTCTTGGTCTTCTTCCTGTCCCTCTCGGGTTCCTTCAACGCCTTGATCACCAGAGCCGCGGCCGACGGGACGACCATGACTTTCGCCTGACGGTTCTGGACGGTGAGCTTGACGGTCACACGGAGACCCTTCCAGTCCTTGGCGGTTTCTTTCGCGATGTCTTCACCAATTTTTTTGGGAGAGAGACCCAGTGGACCGATCTTCGGCGCCAGGGAACTGGCGGCTCCGACTTCACCGCCAGTGACGCGGACGAAGACATCCACGACTTGCGTTGGATCGAACTTGGGCGGCATTGTTGGACTTACTCTTTTGATGGATGAGGAACAGGAGGGATATGGCTTTCAGAAATGAAGAAGTGCAAAGGTGGGATAATAAAGCTAGGGTTTTTCAATTTCTCTAGTATATGCCCCGAATTAACCTTCAGGGACGTTAGGAAAACCAGAAATGGTACGGGTACTTCTGTAATTACGTCTTTTAAGCAACTAAGCAACTTCATTGGACTGAATAACTTGGTTTTGATGTCGGCTTTAAAATTTTATCCCAAAAAAAGAATTAGGATTAGAGTTAATAAATTCCACCCTAACTCGATTCCTTTAATTGATTTATTTGACACAATATTTAATATAGACTCAAACATAATAATTAAACTTGATTTAAGATTCAAATAATGTTCGATTCAAACTAAAATTGATCCAAACTTTAGTTGGACTAATATAGATTCATATTAGTTTGAACTCGATTACTTAAATTAATTTATTTGACCCGATACTTTATATATATGATTTATTTGACTCAATATTTAATATAGACTCAAACATAGTAATTAAACATGATTTAAGATTCGAATCATACTCGATTCAAACTAAAATCGATCCAAATTTTAGTTGGACCAATATAGATTCATATTGGTCTGAACTCGATTACTTGAATTAATTTATTTGACTCAATACTTGATATATAATCAACTATAATAACTAAACTTGTTCTGAAACTCGAACATACTATATTCAAACTAAAATCGATCCCAATTTTAGTTTGGACCAATATGGACTCATATTCAATATGACCTGAATTGAAAGTAACTCGAACCAAAAATAACTTAAACAAAAAGCAACTTGAATCAAATTTAACCCGATACAAATGTAACTCAAACTGAAATTAACTGTAACACCCTCAGACTAATGCAGATAACCCGATTCGATCCGAGGTGTCATATTAGGGCCACCGGAGCGACCCACTCTAAAAGCCCATCAAAATAAAAATTTAACAAATAAAATTTCAAAATCCTAAAACAATTTCAACATTTATAATATAATTTCCAAAATACACAGTATAAAAACCAGTTTTGGACTAGTACAAAAGTAAATTGTGACCTACATGCCCCTTAATTAATCATGTAACGTCCTCCGCCAATAACGTCAGTGGATCTCCTGTCGTTTATATCGATAAAAGCACATGAACATTCCATTAACCTAAAATGATAAGTAACGAAGTGAGCTTTGGGGAAACCCAGTATTATAGAACTACCGTTTATGCTAAAGGACAAGTAGATACACGGTAAAATATGAAATCCTTAGTAAATCATGTGTATATAAATTCCAGAGAAGATTTCAACTTCTTTAATTGATCCTCGAAGGAATGGTCAAAAAATCTACAGATCGGAAGAGTCGGACAGATTCAAGAGATTGAATTTAGGAGCCTAGTGCTTTCCATTGGTGTAGGGAAAAATGTCAGACTTTTAAAAAGACGGTAAGTTTAATTTTAAAAATCATTTGATTACCCTCAATCCGAAAACCAAAAAGTATAGGTTCCCCTGAACCATACACCCACATGTATACTCGATAAAATAGTAAGGACCTTATACTGATAGCATAAGGGCTTACGGTAAGAACTTACCATGTGCACAAAGCAGAGGAGCCTACGGTAAGGGCTTATCCTGTGCATAAAACAAAGGAGCCTTCAGTAAGGACTTACCCTATGAACGAAGCAGAGGAGCTTAAGGTAAGGTCTTACAAGTCATAGACTAAGCCTGTGGAACTTTCTCCAACAATACCCAACCAAGAACAGTAAAACGGTAATGTCAGAAAATCATAAACCATATATTTTGTTTCAGAAAACATAAACAAGAGATTATGTTTTTATTTCAGATAACAAAATCATACTTTTAAAACTAGAGAAAACAATTTTAATATTAAATCAGAAGAAATATTCAATGCATGTGGAACACCCTAAAGGGCTAATTTACGACTTAGAAATATTGATAATTATAAGAAAGGGAAGAAAAAACTTCATTCAATTTTGAATTGGTTTCATAAATGAGATCCATATTCACAGGGGTTTAGTAGCTAACGGATCAAATCAGACATTCGAGAATTGATACATCACAACCATTTAAGATTCAATATTTCAGAAGAGAAATCAAAGACTGTGTCATCAGGTTATTCAAGATTTCAGATATAACAAAAGTGATTCCATTATTCGGACAACCAGGGGTATTTTATATTTTGTTTCCTGAAGAATTCTTAGTAACTTAACCCAATAAGGTAAAATGATGATTCGTAGAATTTTAAATTTATGATGACTTATTCAGTCTCCAAGTCCAATTGAACTAAACAAATCCCATCATTGTTGAACTTACCAATAATTCTGTTAGGGGTACTTCATGGATGTCGATTCCTTAACACTGACTACTTTATGAAGTTGAACTACTCTCCTTCACAATCTTCCTTAAACAAATCCCGAGGAGACACAAACTTTATTCATATGCTATCTATCCTTTTTCTTATAGTGTAAGAGTATTAGAAAAGACTGACATACTCATATTTTACTCCATAATCTTTATGAAAGTTATAATATTTTATACTTTACCAGTATTTTTAGAACTTATCCAATGTCATCACTTAAGGGTATTAGGTCATTCCAAAACTCGAGATCATTTTGGTCATTGTAAAGCTCAGTATCTCAGTCATTTTAAAGCATAGGGGTAACTCGTTATTTTTAATAGATAAAGTTGTATGGAGTACTTTTGGTAAAATAGTCTTTAGGAGTTGATCAAAAATAAAAATTTAGATTGTGCCTTCTTAAAGGTTAAAATCTGATTTTCAAAAATTTTCATACAAATAAGTAGTTTAACTGGTAAATCAATAGTCCTATCGGATCGAATCTAAATTTTTAGATTAATTCCACCATTAGAGACAATCCACATCCCTTTTAAACTATAAGGCTATTTTTGTCATTTGTCATCTAAATATTTATAGTATAAAACTCTTAATAGGAAAAATCAAAATTTTTATGGTTCAAAGGCAAACTTTATCCTTAAAATTTATGGGTCATTTGAGTCTTAATTAGTTCACTAACATTATACCAAAATCAGAGTAAGTTCAGAATAACCAACCATAACACTTAACCAACTCATATTTATCCATGCACTAACCAATTACCAACATGTACCATAAAGCATGCAAAGGGTAGTAAAGTATTAACTCGATTTTAGAGCTACATCGGTCGATCATTTAACACCACTTGATCCCTTTTGGACTTAAATTCGACATTTCATAATATCTCGGATACATGGTAAAAGAATTACATTAGAAAAGCTTAAATGCAAAAATCAAATCAGAAAATAAAATGCTGAAAAACAACTTACTAGGTTTGAATTTGGAAAAACATATTGTAAAATTAGACTTAGGATCTTGAAAAACATCAGGACATGTAGTGTCAAAAAAAGTCAACGGTCAGTCAACGACGATCAACAAAAGCTCAGCTCGGCTTGGCTTAACGACTCAACTCGGTGACTCGGCTTGACTTGACTCGGCTCAAGCAAACTAGTTCAGACCCCCTAGGCGACAGACGAAGCCACGCGTAGGTGCAACACGTAAGGCTCATCGGTGGCCTACGATGGTAGGACGATAATAAGTTTTCCAAAATAATTTTAGAGAATTTTAAGTCACTTACCAGACTCGATGCACGACGGTGAATGACAGAGAGCTTGATATTGACTCGTTAGAAACTTGCTCAGCTTCACCCCCTTACACGTCAACGATGATGGAAAATCTGAGTACATCGATCAACTCCTCTCAATTCTAGGAACACATTGGTGCCAGTGGTGTCGACAACAGATGCTCGGACGACAACGAAACGCCATTTAAAGTTTTCTCAAAAAGGTTTCTAAAAATGGAAAACTTAAGAGAGAGGAATTTTGGTTTCCAAAATTGAAACCTGCTGATTTTGAGGTTTAAAACCCATCTAAAAAGAAAATGGGAAAATTATGTCGTAGGTCCCTAAACTTTTGATACTTTTTTATTTGAGTTCAAAATAAATTGATAATTCACTATGGTCCTTAAATTTAACCAAAATTTCAATTTAATCCACGGATTAAATTAAGAAAATTTTTAGCCTCGAAATTGGGATGTGACATTAACCTAACCTGAAAGCAATCTAAACTGAAAATAACTCAATTCGAAAGCAACTTAAACTAAAAATAATCCAAATTTAATTTATCCAAATCCATTTTGAACCAAACATTGACTTGATTTTTAACTCGATAAATGTGTAAAAGAGAAAGAATAGTTTATTATTATATTTTTAACAATATGATGAATAACAAACTGGTGCATGTTTTATTCTCTTTTTACATTACGCTACTAGTTAACAACACCTTTAATAATAGTTTAATGAGAATCAATATCACATTTGATAATAATTTAATGGTTTAATATCATTTTCTCTCATTTAAAAGATATCTCCATATTTGATTTGATAATTTTTAAAAAATAAAAATAATTTGATATGGATGAGATTATAAAGTAAATTTACTACCCAAAATTCTATTTTATATGATTAACTTTATTTTTCATCACTTAGATGATATATTATAATTAACTTTAAAAGAAAAGAAAATTTACAAACATAAATTAACATGAAATACAAATATCAAATAAAGAGTTCTCATTTAAAAGTGATTTGTAGTTACTACTCTTGCATATCAAATTCCTGGGTGCATTTGGTAATACTGTCTAAAAGCACTTTTAGCTAAAAAGTTTGTTTTAACCGCAAAATCAATACCAAACGGATAAAAATTAAAAAAATTACAGTGGAAACAGTTATTTCAAACTAACCTCAAAATCCATGATTCTAGCATTTTCATTTCTAACTTTGTGTTTGGAATCAAATTTATATGTTTATCATTGTTAATTCATGAGCTCCACTCATTTTCCCTAAAAATAACTTTAAAATTTATTTATTTTATTAATTATGTATTTACAATTTATTTCAATAATTTAATATTAACATTCTTAAAATAAAATTTATTGTTTAATAATTTATTTCAATTACTTAAAAGTAAACAAAAT